ATATATATATTTTTTTATATATATATATATATATATATATATATATATATATATAAAATATATATAAAATAAATTATCAACCGTCGTTAAAGTCAGCCATCCCGCATACTTCGGTAGCAGGAGGGATAAAACACGTTCAATTATTGCGATATGCACTTGCACAGCTCTTATCGCCGGAGGATTATTTACTTTTTATCCGTGCATAAGCGAGATACGCTTAGAGTACATCGGTATTCCCCTTTTCTTTCTCTTTCTCTCTCCTTCCTTTCGTGTATTTTTGTGACAAGTATTATCTCACCTCTTACCCCTGAGTCGCGGAGACTGGAATGCTGCCGTAGTTGTAGTAGTAGCATCTTGTTTGCTCGCAGATAAAGTCCTTCACGAGAGTGCAATCCTGCGCCTCCCAGGCTAACGTAGGTGCTACCATCGCGACGCATCCGTCCGCGCTGCCGCTGTCGCCACTGAAATCGAGAAACTCGCGTTTTGGAATTTAAACCTGAGAATACCTGTTTTGACGTTAGCTATTCCATGCATGAGTTTCCGGGTGTTAGAACTGCGGAAGATAGTGGCTGATAACCGCGTTGCTCGGCTAACAACTACGGGTGCGACTAGTATGCGACTCTTCGCATGGAAAAATGGTAAAAAGATATTGGTTCTTTGAAATTATATGATTATGCTATCCATCATTTTTTTAAGTCCAGCGGATATTTAATTAATGCTTAGCTCAAGTTTCTCTTCTCTGGTTTAACTCTGACACTTTTGATTAATTAATATAGTACACAAAGTACGTTAAATACACATGAAAGATATTACCTTTCACGCGCCACCCTTTGAGGTTCGGTGCCGGGTGGTACGTCGGCAGGTCTGTTACCAGGTCGCTTCAGCATGTAGTCGAAAGTGACGTTGAACGGCAGTCCTGTACTCATCCACAAAAACATGTCGGTGCCCAGCTTGTTGCCAGAGGTCCAAAAATCGTATTTCGTGTAACCGGCGTTCTTTAGATATTGCGTCATCGTGTCGGCCTTCTCTTTCGTTTCGAAAGATGCCAACTGGAGGCCCAGCGAGCGGCAATATTGATACGCCAGGAAGTAATTCAGTTCCGGACTGTAGGGATTCATTCGTGACACAAAATACTGTATGCCATCCAGCTGGATCGTTGTGATCCTCTGAGCTGTAAATGAAACATTATATCATTAATTTCTCTCGAAAGTCTCTTTAATATCGCCAAAAGCTTGCGTTTACGTCACGTCTTATTTTAAACCATGTTTACAATTGTACTATGCGAATGCACTCAATTATAGCGCGTGTGCGAAATTAGGGCAAGTTAGTTGATATCATTCTCAGTATATGAACGATGATTCGATGTACGTTTGTATACTTGGCTTCAAATTTACGCAATGACACAGTGAATATAATAATAATTATAATATATTTTCATTAAAGAATTATTAATTTTATAATAAAATGTACTGATTGAATCTCTCTTATTATCTTTCATAATTTTTTACATTCTCATAGTATTTCAATATTATATTCTTTTTAGATATTTTTTATAATTATAGTTGAAGACAGGCAGATTTTTAATTTATTTGATCATATTTTATTAAAAAAGAATTTTCTAGAGCAACTTATGGTTTATCGAGGCATGTCTGTCGTTCAGTTCCGACAAAGCCACAAATGGCAGTAGAAATGAAAGAGAATGCGTTCAATGAATATTAATGTAGTATCCTATTCCTATTTAGTATTGTATTCCAAGCTCACGATCGAGAACCGTTATTATAATTACAAAAAATTCCTACGTCTTTTTTAATATAATAAAATAAGATCGTTAATATGAAAATAATAGTATCAAAGTCAAGATTTTTACTTGGAAACCTTTAAATAATTTATATACTGGAACACTAGTGATTTGCTTCTCGCAGGCTTTGATATTCGAAATTTAAAGTTTTAGCATTAAGATTTTCAAAAATCGAAGTTTCTTCGATACTTTAATTTTTGACAAATTAACTTCGACACAAATTAAAAATATATGTACAATTACTATTTTAATATAATTAGTACAGTAACGAATATATATTTTTATAAAAAAGTATACGCAAATATAATTTTATTGTTTCCCATTCGCATGAATATCTTTTTCAAACTTTTAGAGCTTTGAAAGCAATTTAAACTTTGAAAGTTTGGAATTCTTCGAAGTTGTCAAAAGTAACAGTTCTAATCTATACGTGATCAACTTCGTAATAATAAACGATTCTAAGAACCCGGGAAAAGATCGTATACATTTGTACGCTAAGAAGCATCATTCTCATCGCATTATATACGCGATACAATAGTGATACAAGACGTAGCAAAAAGAACGAAATTGAAGAGACTATTCTAACATCGTTCGTTTCATAATACGACTTTAATTTCACTCTAAATGCGTATTCTGATGCGGCGCGTTTTTAGTCGGCTTCACAATGACTCAAAGCTTTATGACAAGGACAGTGTTCACACGATACATCAAGTCGCGGGTTCATTGAACCGTGACGGCTATTTGGTTAACTGTACTTATGAATTATGATGCTCGGAGACCCCCGAATAGCTCCATAGGTGAACGAGTGTCGCAACTAATATGCGTCCGTCACATTGTTTCTAGTTGCGATTGTTCTCCGTTCTCCATTACATGTTTACGGCTATGAAGATCGATGGCGATAAGAAAAATTGAGTTTTTAAATTTTCTATTTCTAGAGATTTTTAGATATACAAGAGAGAAATGTGAGGAGCAGCAAAAATGCCTGATTTGCCCATTATATGCTTGAGTAAGTCGAGATATTTCTTATCGAGATACTCTTACGTAAGAGTTACGAAACAAAAGAAGTTTCTTTGGTGCGAGAAGAATATAAGTTCATGACTGAACATATAGTCACAGTCGTATGAAATTTAAAAGGCTCGATGACTTAACGAGATCGAAAATGAAAGATCGAAAGAACAATACGGGGGAAAACGCGATGTGAAAAGATCTATGATACAGTATTATCTGCTTGTTTGATTTTTTCAAAACGACGAATGCTTTGAGACGAATGGTTTTTTGTTACCCCATCCTAAAGAATCTCGACGGGAATTGAAGCGAATCGATCTGAATCTCCCAAGAGGGATCAATTTCGCGTGTGCGTGGACCGCGTCATTATACAACGGGCGGCGAAGCAAGACGGTGCAAGATACATCCGTTCGGCTGGTTGGTAGAAGTCTAGTCACGGCTCTGGATACTTCGTAGAGGCGCATCCGGAGCAAAAACGTTCCGGATCGTGAAGTTGGACGTGCAGGTGGTGGTAAATGACCCGAAGGCCTTGAGACGTCTGCCGCCGGTGTGTGTGCGCGCGCGAAGAAGAGACGACCAGCCGCTTTAACTACAGCTTCGTTCACGTAATGCGTTCCCGCCGTTCGGTTAATGATACTCAACGAGATTCCCAAAGGAAACGAGTCCACGCACACGGCGCTCGAATTTTTATAAACGATCCCGATAAACGTTTATCGAATGTAATCTACTCTCTCTCTTTTTTATTTTTAACGACTGCAAGTAGCAAGCCTTTAAATATCTTTCACGCACACGGGATTGCCTCTTGGACGTAATATCACTTTTACTTGCGGAGATTTCAACGTACGTCGTGAATATCGTAAGATTTAATTTTTTTTTTTTAGTGTGTAAATGTACATTTCTTACAAAAAAGAAAAGAGATTCTTAGTTTATTTATTATTCGCATCGAAATATTTCAGCACTAAGATTTGATTCGTTTTGACCGAATATAAGATATCTCTTATTCAGATTATTTATTATTGTTATTTTTACAGTTAGAAAGCAGTATTTTTCTGTCAAGTCAATTTTTATAAACTCTAAATACTGCATTATAACGAATGGAAATTTGAAAGGGTAGAAACTCTTTGAAAAGACGCGATATGCCTGGTGCATTATGTTGCTTGCGTGTTCTGCCATCGGTTGTTTCCGGTCTCAACTTTGAATGCGTTTAACAGTTGGCGCAGGGGGTTTTTTTTTAATGACTTTAAAATGGCGTTGAGTGTAATGTAGAAGTGTTTTTAAATAACGAAAATATATTTAATGGGAATAATATTAAAAGCAATTAATTAAAGTAAAGAGAAAACAATGGAAATTAGAAATTTCAAATAATAATGAGCATTTGTAAAAGATCTATTTAATGAAAAATATATAGTATATTAAAAAAAGTATATATATTTTTTAAAATATATTATTTAAACCTTCGCGAAACATTTAAAATAAAGGGAGCAAAATATTTAATCATTTAGTCACAAGTATATTCATAATACGTAATTCAATTTTACAATCTCATCTTTTACGTGATTTTGACAATTTCTTCAGTGTTAAAATAAACGATTGTCGAATAACACTACGCGTTGAGTGAATAATCGGAATATCGTGCAGAGATGTCGATGGTCGAGCGGAAGATGTATATCCAACATGCCTATGATGAAGTTAAGAGAACAATCATTTCATAATAATGAAGCCGTCACTGCGGGTGTTAAAGTGAGCACGAACGAGCCGGCATTGTGTCGTGGTGTAAAAGGGTACTAACCTGAGGCGAAGGCCGCGACGACGAAGAGCAACAGGATGATCTTCATGTTAGCGTGCCGATTACTGTGTTGGCAGTGCGACGATCAAGCAGTCAGTCGTTTCCGTTTCCGACTCTCGTCTTCTCTCTCTCTCTCTCTCTCTCTCTCTCTCTCTCTCTCTCTCGGAATACACCGGATGTTAGTGTTAGGATCGCGTTCTCGGACTGGCCTCGCGCTGCGCCGTGAGCCCCCTTAAGAGTCTTCTGCCCGGATCCCAGAGGAGGGGGTCGTTGAAGATGATTCACTGGCTAACCTAGAGCAGGAGTCCAACGCGCGAAGGGGACGGCGGTGGCGGCTGCGTCGAGGGCGACGAAGACGACAACGATGACGACCGTATGAAGACGAATAAGTCGAAGAGTAATTGAACTTGTGTTGCAAAAAAAAAAAAAATCACGGGTGACAAGATCGAAGGGAGACCGTACAATAGATGTTCAACCCTGATGAACAACGTGGAGGCATGTCCTGCGATCGATGACGCCACGCTTGATTTGGCACGGATCGCCCTTCTCCTTCCCCTGACTGCGAATGATGATTTGCAAAATCGAGTACGTGCATTAGAATTCAAGGGGAGGACGAGGGGATGCCTTTATTCTCGTAAAGTATTCGAGAAAGGTAAATCGCGGATGTTTTAACGGCAGAAAATCTTTCTCGACAGATGAAAAGACGTATTCTCGACTTGACGACTCGTTTTAAATAATAATTAACCGTTTAACTTTAGTAATATTATTTTCACCGTACACGGACATAGCGAGCGATACACGCACCTTCATGTGCGAATAATAAGTTAATCAACTTCGATCGATCATTAGTCGTTAAAGCAAATAATTGTTTTTGCAACAAAAAACCGCGACCACTCCAGTTGTCCTCTCGCGGAGGAGCCAGCCGCTTGTCAAGCGTATATACTCTGCGTTTACTCTCTCGTTGGCGCAATTGTAAATTAGCACACAACGTGTGATTACATCGACTTAATTATATTAACTAGCGAAGTCGTCGTATGAATAATGTTTGCCCGTCGAAGAGGTATAATCCATTTGTAAGCGGTATATCGCGCGGACATGAAATAATGGAAGGGCGAGTAATAGCAAGAACGTCGTTATCCCCATATCGATCAACGTAGCGTTTACGTTAATCCCATTAATAACATCCGTGCGTTGGCGCGCCTCGCTCTTACTTTGTTCCCGACACCGTAAATCCTCCTCCGCCTTGTAACGCCGCGTCGCTTCTTTCGCTCTCGCGGTACGGAATTTTACTTTGCCGCGGTCTTCACGGTTCTCCGTGGATTTGTATCGACGGCGAGCAGCAAAAAGACGCCGGTTTCAAGGCAGACTTCATTTCTGAACGCCTCCTCGGAGGCATCCTCTCGTACGCGCCCCCCCTCCCCCCTCCCCCCCCGATATCATCTATCCCTAAAAATCCACCTCACTTCATTCGTCAGCGAAACGACACGCACGATCGTGCCGCTCAAATCCAACGCTAATTGCAACAAATCGCCTGCCTCCGAGAAGGAAATCTGTATAATTATACCTTCGATCTACGGAAGGCCAACCTCGTGAATTACATTGATATACCTGGATCAGCCTGGACCCCGAGATTTCAAGCGAAATAAATGGACCGAGCTGCTGTGGACTCGATTATTAATACCTATACGTAATCTACGCCTCGTCCACCAAGTCACTCATCCAAAATATCGGTCTATCTAATAATATATGTAAACCTCGCTCGGACAGAATCATGGCAAGGTATCACGCGTATCTTCGCGCGAAGAAGACGGGCCGATGGATGTGAGCGACGAGAGCGCTTCGACTGAGTCGCTTCCTTCGCGTCCTTTGGCGCCGTCTTGTTCTTGCGATCCGCTCCTTCCCGCGTTCAGCTTCCTTCGAAGCGCGTCGTCATCGCAAGACCCGCTGGAATTCTGGCTCACCAACTTGCACGCGCGCGCACGCACGCATCGCACGCATCGCACGCATCGCAGATATCGCGGTGCGGCGCGTGCGAGGACTACCGGGCGCGTCTCAATTAAGCTTTCGTGTGATTAATGATATATGAGATCGTATCGCAAAACGCGTCACTCCATGAACGGGACGTATTAACGAGTTATCGCATTGCTCGTGGGTCATACGTTCCACTTTGTACGGCGTTTCATCGATCGATCAGTGAGAATAAGCCTGTTCTTTTTGGCACAACTTTTGCACCGGTTCATCTTTCTTCCTCTTCTTCTTTTCTCCCCGGAGAGAAAAGGAAGAAAGATGGACCGACCGCAAAAGTTCAGCTTGAAAGAACAGGTCTAATATATATGTTATTTTTTGCGAGCTGTCGTCTCGAAACTATTCTGTATTCTTAATACGCGCGAGACACTGACATTTTATCGGGACCATCGTGTATTTTTTCATCAGTAAAATTTGTGCAATGAAGTATTATTATTATTATTAAATTCCGTTTTATCATTGTCGCTTTATAGCGTGTTCCACCGACACAGTATCCTGATTCTCTTGACGATAGTGGCGATATCGTTGTATTGTTGTAGGTATTATATAGGATCCCAAAACTCTATGATGATAAATTTAAAGACAGATTCTTTGTAATATTTTAAGACGGAAAGCCAAGTACAAAAATACCGAGGCTATTATAGTTTTTAAATGAGAAGCGTTTAAAAATTGTCAATGACTAAAGCTAGAATTTTGCGCGCTCAGGAATGATCAGAGATGATCAGTGTGCTGAATTTTGTTATTGTCAAAAGCATGAAATTAGAGGAAACATCTTCATACTGCCATCATCTTGCCATTCCTGAGCGCGCGAAATTTTATTTCAGTCGTTCATAATTTTTAGACTCTTCCCATTTTAAAACTTAGCTTCGGCATTTCTGTATTAGACCCAATTTTTCATTATCAGATTAATTTAAGATTAAGCTTGATTTTATGTTTCATCCAATGGGATTATCCATGACACCGTCATAAATAAAGTTCATTGGGTGAAAACATCAGGTGAAGCTTAACTACAAGTTAACCAGAAAGTGAAAAACTGGTTTTTCGTTACAAGAGATCTGTCTTTAAAATATTTATCGTCAATTTTGAGACACCCTGTATATGGTAAACAAGCTGCGCAATGATAATATAGCGATACCCAACTGTCGTTAAGAATTACAAAACCGGGCTACTGAGCTCTCTCTATGAAGAGGCCTTTCATGATCGTAGGATTTGTTATCGTGGAATTTGCTGCTCTCAATGTTGGCTGATTTGATATTGAAAACTGTTATTTGCATTTAAATTTCCTGCTTTATTTCCTGTTTTTTTTTTGGTTCCGATTCATTTATTTAACGTACATATTTTCTCGATCACATTCATTCCCAGCGAAATCTTTATCTTCCAAGAAGCGTCGTTTGAAAAACTTTTAGATATTTAATAAAATCAGTTAAATGTATATTTTATTCGTTCCGCTATGACAAATGTTTCCGAAGAGTAAATTATTAATAGAGAAAATATATTTTATAAAGCAATGAAGCGGTAATACCGGTATCGGCGCAAGTATGTATCGATAACGCGAGTCGCAAAAAGATTCACATCTCAAGGTAGGCTTCATTTCTGACCATGTGTTCGCGTCTGATCCGAGAGATCGATCCACCTGCTCTCGGAATATATCGTCAGCGAATATAGGCTTAACCCAGTCGTCTGATTACAATATCGAAACCGGTACGAGGGAGGAACCGATGCGTCTCTACATCCCAGAAAACGTAGCGCATCTTCCATCTATCCTCTTCGTGTGTCTCTCATCTCCTCACGCCGCACCGTCCTTCTACGGTATTATCTCTCTCTCTCTCTCTCGTGAAAATGCTGCCTAGTGGCGGAATTACCGGATCAATGATCAGATACGCGATGTGTTATTTCTGGTACGCGGCACGCTGTGCGGGCGATCGTGAGCAAAAAGGACCTCGCGTGACATCCAAGACCTACCGCACAACGGAAATCGTCTCTCTATTTATGTCTCTGTCTCTTTCTTTCTCCGACTCCGCGCCAATGTCCGCCCGTTGCAGCTCTTGCACACGGGAGGATGCCGTGCCGCGAGCTTAATGACAGGGTAGCGCGCCGTGACGGTTTCCTTCGTGGTCCACGATTCAGGAATGCAGATGAATCGGTCGGAGTAGCGCCGAGCGCGCGACCTAAGGAGGCGTTTCGCGGTTGCCGCTACTTCATTAAACGTGTTTGATGCTGGATGTGGATTTTATTAATGGAGAAAGGAAAGAGAGAGAGAGAGAGAGAGAGAGAGAGAGAGAGAGAGAGTGCTTTTACGAGAGATTCCACATCCTTGTTTGATCAAGAAAGATTAATTTCCATATTATACTATATATCTTCCTTTAACGCCGAACGAATTACAATAAAATTAATCGGTTTTCGCGCTTGCAGACCCGCCTAAGAGAAATGGGATATTCGGCTGCGGGGAACTTACGTGTGTTCAGATTTCTGTGCATATCAATCGTACCGTGAATGCCTAGGCTTATACCTCGCGGCGCAAGTCACGTTCCGCTGGGTACCTTGGTATAGGTCAGTTTAACAGGTTGAATTCCCATCGTGGTATTCCCGTGGGAATGCACCGCGTCCGCTCGAGTGCACTCAAGTCCGGCGATACTTACGGGGTTCTCTCCTATATATCATGCATGTGGTGATGGGTATCAGACTGAAGCAGAAGTTCGGTGTATACTGGATAAACAAGCGATTCTTCAGCAGGCACGATCACCATCTCATCGTCGTCATTGTCCTCTCGTCCTTCCGTTTTCTCTTACCATTACTTCTCTCTTTCGTTTCGTTTTCTTCTTCGTCGTCTTCTTCATCCTCTCCTTCTTCGTCGTCCTCTTCGCTGTCTTCTTCCTCCTACCACTTGACTCCGCTCCACGCGAGGGAGACGCTAGGGAACAACTTCTCACAGCCGCGCCAAGGGACTTGGTCTTTTTTTGCTAAAACAAAAGCGAAGACCGGGGTACGCCGCAGCGGTCAGCGGCGACCATCGTCGGCTGCGCGACGAAGAGGAAGACGAGAGGAGGATGGCTGGAAGGTGCGCAGGAGAAGCGAGGGAGAGGATGCCACAGGGGGATTCTTGCCGAGGTCTATTTCAAGCCCTGCCAGCAATCGCTATGTAAGGCCCTCTTCTTTCCTTTCCACCCAAGCATCTCTTCTCGTCTTTTTCCCCGT